CAGGAAAATACCACAAGCAGAGTCCAGCAGTTCCTAGAGATTACATTCCAGGCAGAACCTGCAATCAAGGTCCAGGTAAGGCCTCCAAAGCTCAGATAACAGCAGATATAACCCATCTCAGGAGCATATAAATTATGATGTCTTGAAAATTTTAACAACTTTTCTTAACAGAGAAAAGACGTCCATCCTCCTGTGCAACTAGGGAAAAATTGAAGTACAATGAGAGTGAGATGGGTTATACCTAACCTTACTCCTGAAGGCAGCAGTAAAACTCATTAGTGTCCTACGAACGAGAAAGAAAACCTAGGCTAAGCATGCGTACACCAGCCACGGGGTCAGGTCAGCCCTATCACTCAACGGCAACTGAGCAATGTCCACAGAAACAAGTTATTAAACCCAGGTAGTTATTTGGGAGATGTTCTTTTTCAGAGTTAGTGGCCAGAGGTCCCTATGGGAAGCTCTGTAAGCGGAATGACCTTAGACAGCTAGTCATGTGGCGGTCCACAAACTATTACAGGTGAATATCCAGCACAACTTTGTCAATATTTTCATTGATAATTTGACAATAGCTTATATCAACCACCCTAAAGGTGAAACAAGATTTTTAAGCTGTTCGTTCTGCCAGTGAAGATGATACCTTGGATCCTATCTTTTTAGCAGGTTTTCAATAAAAAACGTTCTTCTACAACTAGGGCAAAGATAGGGTATAAGTAAATAAATATAATGGCGCCTATGGAGAGAGAAAAAAATGTGGGCCACTAACTGATATACCAGCTGCAAAATCCACCATAAATAATAAAGTGTGAAAAAATAACACAACAATAATTTGCGCTAGTAAATAAGTATTACAATATACCTGTGAACAAAGAAAATATAAAGATATTATCCATGTGAGTAATAGTTATAAATACATAATTTAAAAAAAAAAATGTATATAAAAAAGTGTCCAAAAACAGTCCAAATTTAAGATGTGTAGTGCAGATCCGAAGAAAAGTGCACAAACAAAATGTGACAATCCGCCACCAAAAGCACTAAATAAACTCACCAGAGCTATAAAAAACTGAAGCATACAGTCAGGTCCATAAATATTGGGACATGGACACAATTCTAACATTCTTGGCTCTATACACCACCACAATGGATTTGAAATGAAACAAACAAGATGTGCTTTAACTGCAGACTGTCAGCTTTAATTTGAGGGTATTTACATCCAAATCAGGTGAACGGTGTAGGAATTACAACAGTCTGCATATGTGCCTCCCACTTGTTAAGGGAACAAAAGTAATGGGACAATTGGCTTCTCAGCTGTTCCATGGCCAGGTGTGTGTTATTCCCTCTTTATCCCAATTACAATGAGCAGATAAAAGGTCCAGAGTTCATTTCAAGTGTGCTATTTGCAGTTGGAATCTGTTGCTGTCAACTCTCAAGATGAGATTCAAAGAGCTGTCACTATCAGTGAAGCCATCATTAGGCTGAAAAAAACAAAACAAACCCATCAGAGAGATAGCAAAAACATTAGGCGTTGCCAAAACAACTGTTTGGAACATTCTTAAAAAGAAGGAACGCACCGGTGAGCTCAGCAACACCAAAAGACCCGGAAGACCACGGAAAACAACTGTGGTGGATGAGCGAAGAATTCTTTCCCTGGTGAAGAAAAACACCCTTCACAACAGTTGGCCAGATCAAGAACACTCTCCAGGAGGTAGGTGTATGTGTGTCAAAGTCACCAATCAAGAGAAAACTTCACCAGAGTGAATACAGAGGGTTCACCACAAGATGGAAACCATTGGTGAGCCTCAAAAACAGGAAGGCCAGATTAGAGTTTGCCAAACGACATGTAAAAAAGCCTTCACAGTTCTGGAACAACATCCTATGGACAGATGAGACCAACATCAACTTGTACCAGAGTGATGGGAAGAGAAGAGTATGGAGAAGGAAAGGAACTGCTCATGATCCTAAGCATACCACCTCATCAGTGAAGCATGGTGGTGGTAGTGTCATGGCGTGGGCATGTATGGCTGCCAATGGAACTGCTTCTCTTGTATTTATTGATGATGTAACTGCTGACAGAAGCAGCCGGATGAATTGTGAAGTGTTTCGGGAATATTATCTGCTCATATTCAGCCAAATGCTTCACAACTCATTGGACGCTTCGCAGTGCAGATGGACAATGACCCAAAGCAGACTGCAAAAGCAACCAAAGAGTTTTTTATGGAAAGAAGTGGAATGTTCTGCAATGGCCAAGTCAATCACCTGACCTGAATCCGATTGAGCATGCATTTCACTTGCTGAAGACAAAACTGAAGGGAAAATGCCCCAAGAACAAGCAGGAACTGAAGACAGTTGCAGTAGAGGCCTGGCAGAGCATCACCAGGGATGAAACCCAGCGTCTGGTGATGTCTATGCGTTCCAGACTTCAGGCTGTAATTGACTACAAAGGATTTGCAACCAAGTATTAAAAAGTGAAAGTTTGATTTATTATTATTATTCTGTCCCATTACTTTTGGTCCCTTAACAAGTGGAAGGCACATATGAAAACTGTTGTAATTCCTACACTGGTCACCTGATTTGGATGTAAATACCCTCAAATTAAAGCTGACAGTCTGCAGTTAAAGCACATCTTGTTCATTTCATTTCAAATTCATTGTGGTGGTGTATAGAGCCAAAAAAATTTTAGAATTGTGTCGATGTCCCAATATTTATGGACCTGACTGTATATTGCTCTGGGGGCGATGGTATTAGTAGAGTAATAGACCATTCATGGATGTGTCTTCAGGGAGTAATCTGCAGAACCCAGCTCCAAGCCGACCAATTTCAATGAAGCAATGCTCTATAATTAAATACCACTAAGGAAATCCACTTCTCCAAGAGATCACTTTAATTGTATCCAAAAGGGGGTAATACCAGACACTCGGAAGAAATAAAAAAACTTCACGGTGCAGTATTGTTAAAAAACAGCTTCATTTATTATGCACTCATTGCATTTATCTCAAAGGGTTTCCCAGCCGACACCAGCGTTAACAGCATATAGGAATCACAATGAAAACGAACCCAGCCATTCGGCACATGCGCAGTAGATCGCTGGGAAACGTAATGACGTCACATCAATCAAAGATAGGGTATGCTGCTTGTGGAAAAGAAAGAACAGACCAGGATCTTCTATTCAATGAACAGTAAAGAGGGGATGTATGGGCAATGTGATCTACCATATCCCTTACCCTTACTTCAGCTACTACTGATCTGTTGAAGAAAGATCAAAGTGATCCTTATTGGGTTGATAAGAAGACCTGGTTCTCAGCTCTCCACCATCCCTGAAAACTTTCTTTCACAAGTATCTAATCCATTAAGCTTTTATGCTACACTGTCTTTCTTTGGTCCTAAATTTGACAGCCTGCATCCCAAATAGGGGATCTTTAAAAAATAAAGATGTTTGATTTCCAAATACTACCACCCTGGGATAGTTCTTTGATTCCTACTTAGTCGCATTTAAACACCTTTCTCTTGAAAGACCTGGATATTAAAAATGTCTTTTTCTTAAGTATTATTGACTGGAAGGTCATTATTTTACAAAATAGGGTTATTTTAGAGCCACACATGCCATTGTTCTCAAAGTTGTCTTAACATAGACAGGAAAATCTCCAGATATCCAGATTCCAGAGACTGTGTTGCAGAAGAGAAGCTTGTGAGCAGGGACTGACAACTCATGGGGCCCCTGGGCAATAGGGGATCATGGGGCCCCTGCGTCCTTGCCCACACTCAAAAAAAGCCTATGAAAAAAGGTACCAGGGGCATCTCATGAGGCCCCCTACTGACCCCGGGCCCTCAGGCAGTGCCTGAGTTTCCAAATGGTCCCCTGCTTGTGAGTAGTTCCAGGAATACCCTATCCCAGTTCCAAATCCCCTCAATAGACAACAAAACAAAAGCTCAAGGACTGATTTCTGACTCTGAGCGCAAGCTTGTGTGGAGAGTGCAGATTGCCTGGCTGAGCAGGACTATGGGGGGGTGGGGGGTACAATTGATCAGCAACCCTAAGGGGGTAGCGCTATAAGCAGTTACAGCAACAGTTTTTTTTTTCCTTTGGGATAAAGGTTTTATGTAAATAAATAAAAGCCGATCTTTGTAAGCACCACTGTCAGTGTTAAATGGTTTGCCTCTACCCTCTAACTGATACATCCGCAGGGCAGCTTGATTTGTTGAAAACAAATAGACTTACTGGAAGGATCACCAGCTAAAAATTAAAGAAAGACTGAAAAAGAAATTCAAAGCAGTCATCACATCTAAGAATTGATAAGCTGCAACATAATAGCAGTTGGATTTTGGGTTTCATACTGCTTTAAGTCTATGTGACAAGCTCTGTAACACTGACAATTGCTCTGCTTTACTAATTAGAAAAATATGTCGTTCTGGCCTTGTCTTTTCAGCGTGTTCAATAAATCACTTGTTGCTGGAGAGCATTCAACTGATTCTTTTTGTCTCTTTCCTATATAATCTCTGACTCTTGTACTTGCTCTATCCTTGTATTTTGTGGGAATGCATCAAGAAATATTTTTAAAACTGTGCCTGAAAATTAATTTTTTTTGCAAACAAATGCAATGATGCAGAAAATGTCATTTTTAAATACAATATGTGTAAGGGTGGGTATTAATACTGCATCTCATAGCTCACTCACATTTAATGGGTGGCAAAGCATTCCTAATATACAATGGGTTAGCTAGACAGTGGACAGTGTTAGCTAGGCCAGTGTTTCTCAACCTCTTTTTCAGTCAAGGCACCCTTTAAAATTATGGACAGTCCCGAGACACCCTTTAAAATTATGGACAGTCCCGAGACACCCTTTAAAAATTATGGACAGTCCCGAGACACCCTTTAGATTTATGGACAGTCCCGAAACACCCTTTAAAATTATGGACAGTCCCGAGACACCCTTTAAAATTATGGACAGTCTCGAGACACCCTTCAAAATTATGGACAGTCCCGAGGCACCCTTTAAAATTATGGACAGTCCCGAGGCACCCTTTAAAATTATGGACAGTCCCGAAACACCCTTTAAAATTATGGACAGTCCCGAAACACACTTTAAAATTATGGACAGTCCCGAGACACCCTTTAAAATTATGGACAGTCCCGAGACACCCTTTAAAATTATGGACAGTCCCGAGACACCCTTTAAAATTATGGACAGTCCCGAGACACCCTTTAAAAATTATGGACAGTCCCGAGACACCCTTTAAAATTATGGACAGTCCCGAGACACCCTTTAAAATTATGGACAGTCCCGAGACACCCTTTAAAATTATGGACAGTCCCGAGACACCCTTTAAAATTATGGACAGTCCCGAAACACCCTTTAAAATTATGGACAGTCCCGAGACACCCTTAAAATTATGGACAGTCCCGAGACACCCTTTAAAATTATGGACAGTCCCGAGACACCCTTTAAAATTATGGACAGTCCCGAGGCACCCTTTAGAATTACAGACAGTCCCGAAACACCCTTTACAATTATGGACGTCCCGAGACACCCTTTAAAATTATGGACAGTCCCGAGACACCCTTTAAAATTATGGACAGTCCCGAGACACCCTTTAACATTATGGACAGTCCCGAGACACCCTTTAAAATTATGGACAGTCCCGAGACACCCTTTAGATTTATGGACAGTCCCGAGACACCCTTTAAAATTATGGACAGTCCCGAGACACCCTTTAACATTATGGACAGGCCCGAGACACCCTTTAACATTATGGACAGTCCCGAGACACCCTTTAAAATTATGGACAGTCTCGAGGACACCTTTAAAATTTATGGACAGTCCCGAGGCACCCTTTAAAATTATGGACAGTCCCGAGGCACCCTTTAAAATTATGGACAGTCCCGAGACACCCTTTAAAATTATGGACAGTCCCGAGGCACCCTTTAAAATTATGGACAGTCCCGAGACACCCTTTAAAATTATGGACAGTCCGAGACACCCTTTAAAATTATGGACAGTCCCGAGGCACCCTTTAAAATTATGGACAGTCCCGAGACACCCTTTAAAATTATGGACAGTCCCGAGACACCCTTTAAAATTATGGACAGTCCCGAGACACCCTTTAAAATTATGGACAGTCCCGAGACACCCTTTAAAATTATGGACAGTCCCGAGACACCCTTTAAAATTATGGACAGTCCCGAGACAACACCCTTTAAAATTATGGACAGTCCCGAGACACCCTTTAAAATTATGGACAGTCCCGAGACACCCTTTAAAATTATGGACAGTCCCGAGACACCCTTTAAAATTATGGACAGTCCCGAAACACCCTTTAAAATTATGGACAGTCCCGAGACACCCTTTAAAATTATGGACAGTCCCGAGACACCCTTTAGATTTATGGACAGTCCCGAAACACCCTTTAAAATTATGGACAGTCCCGAGACACCCTTTAAAATTATGGACAGTCCGAGACACCCTTTAAAATTATGGACAGTCCCGAGGCACCCTTTAAAATTATGGACAGTCCCGAGACACCCTTTAAAATTATGGACAGTCCCGAGACACCCTTTAAAATTATGGACAGTCCCGAGACACCCTTTAAAATTATGGACAGTCCCGAGACACCCTTTAAAATTATGGACAGTCCCGAGACACCCTTTAAAATTATGGACAGTCCCGAGACACCCTTTAAAATTATGGACAGTCCCGAGACACCCTTTAAAATTATGGACAGTCCCGAGACACCCCTTTAAAATTATGGACAGTCCCGAGACACCCTTTAAAATTATGGACAGTCCCGAAACACCCTTTAAAAATTATGGACAGTCCCGAGACACCCTTTTAAAATTATGGACAGTCCCGAGACACCCTTTAAAATTATGGACAGTCCCGAGACACCCTTTAAATTATGGACAGTCCCGAGACACCCTTTAAAATTATGGACAGTCCCGAGGCATCCCTTTAAAATTATGGACAGTCCCGAGACACCCTTTAAAATTTATGGACAGTCCCGAGACACCCTTTAAAATTATGGACAGTCCCGAGACACCCTTTAAAATTATGGACAGTCCCGAGACACCCTTTAAAATTATGGACAGTCCCGAGACACCCTTTAAAATTATGGACAGTCCCGAGACACCCTTTAAAATTATGGACAGTCCCGAGACATCCTTTAAAATTATGGACAGTCCCCGAGACACCCTTTAAAATTACGGACAGTCCCGAAACACCCTTTAAAATTATGGACAGTCCCGAGACACACCATTTAAAATTACGGACAGTCCCGAGACACCTTTAAAATTATGGACAGTCCCGAGACACCCTTTAAATTATGGACAGTCCCGAGACACCCCTTTAAAATTATGGACAGTCCCGAGACACCCTTTAAAATTATGGACAGTACCGAGGCACCTTTAAAATTATGGACAGTCCCGAGACACCCTTTAAAATTATGGACAGTCCCGAGACACCCTTTAAAATTATGGACAATCTTGAGGCACCCCATTCTAAAATATAAAACTATTGGAATGGTTTTTCACAAAACGTAGCAACATCCACACATGTAGGACACCCAACATTAGTGGTGATTTATTCTTCCAAAGCATATACTCTTTTGCACACTGGTCCTAAGTAGTATCCCAGTGTTTCTCTTCTCCCTCAGTTTTTCTCCATCACTGAGTTAATGTGACCCCAGCACTGATAGAGAGGGGCAGGGGAGGGTCAAACTAGGTGCTGCTGTGCAGGCAGCTGACATCCTCCTTATCAACCGATGATGTCATTGGTCGTTAGGATGCGGGCGGCTAGAAGGTCGTAATGGTTCACAATGAAAACCTGTCACTTTGTGTAACTAAAAGGCAAGCTTGTTCACCCGTTGGCTTGTAAACAAGTTTTGGTCAATTCTTAGAAATTTTGCCAAGGCACCCCTGAAGAAACCTCAAGGCACCCCAGGGTGCCTGGACACCCTGGTTGAAAAAGGCTGAGCTAGACACTTTGGACTAAGCCCTCTGATAAAGTCAATGTGTTGAGCCATTTACTTGTCTTTGCAAATTTCAGCTTGAGCTACTGAGACTCTTTCAACATAGGGCCAAATAGAGCATGTAAAATGCACCTAGAACAACATCTGCTCGCTCAAAAGAAGAATGCGCATACATCGTATAATTGTTCTAGATTTCATACTTAGCTGTGTAAATATAAATTTTGTTGGGTCTGGACCAAACTAAAGACAGAAAGAAAGCAAACTACTATATGTTTCCTTTAACATAATGTATGTTCTTGCTGATATCACTGCATTGGGGAAACATCCTGAGCAGTATAACCCACTGGACCTGTTCAACAGTCACTAGCTGCCCTATAAATCTTCATTGTGCTAAACACCGCCTGGCTCAACTCACGAGAACACATCAATAGTTGTCATTTAAAAGAAAGTAATATTAAGACTAGGTGTGAGACACCCAGGGGCGGACTGACAACTCATGGGGCCCCTGGGCAATAGGGGATCATGGGGCCCCTGTGTCCTTGCCCAAACCCAAAAAAGCCTATGAAAAAGGTACCAGAGGCATCTCATGGGGCCCCCTTCTGACCCAGGGCCCTCGGGCAGTGCCCGAGTTTCCAAATGGTCAGTCCGCCCCTGGAGACACCACATGTGATTCGCACAGGAATTGCACTGCACTTCCTGTGCACATCACATGCAATGTCTGTGCGGTGTGGTTTGAGTCATACATTTTTTTTGGTAAAAGGTGCAGGACTCTTTCTTTTCCACACCTGATTCACATTGCATGGGTGTTCTCACCCACGTAATCCAATTTCTGGCAATCACACTGCGTTTTGCGATCTCCTTTGGGGTGTCATTAATTTAACATTGGCACCAAATCGTATGGACGCCATGCAATTGCAATGCGGTGTGGGAAATGCACAGGAGTCACTGCATTTCCTGCATCGCATTAACGTGAATTAGGTCTAAAGGAAACATGTACTGGGCATACGGCTGATTTAACACTGAAAATAATATCATGACTCTAGCATCAGTGCTTTGAAACACTGACCCAGAACAAGCATGTCAATCTCGTTTTTGCCAAATAAAGGTGGTGATTAGTGCAGGAGGCTCCTGGAATGGAAAATTTACAGGATTCCTGGACAAAGCAGTCAAGCCTTTGTTGTTATGCTGTAAACACTGATCATGTGAAGTAACATTAAAGCCACAACTAGAGATGAACCAAACATACCTGGGAGCTGAAACTCAGGAATAAATATTGGCCATTTTCTATTGGCCATTTTGTTAATAGGCAAGGGTTTGGCAAAGAAATGGCCTGGGTGGATGGGCATTGTCCCCCATTTCATCCTTTCCAATCCCATATAGTAGAGTATATGCAACACAAAGTTCTATAGTCTATTATATTATTTTTTTTTCTTTATACAGATACTTTTGCTATTGCATATATAACATAGCAATTGCTACAAAGCACATAAAAACTATTTTAAAATGTGTACAGTGAAAATAATAATTGGGAGTCATGCTTGTAACTGTCAATCTTGCAATGCCTCATGGGACTTGTAGTTTGGCAACAGCTGGAGGGCCACAAGTTGACACCGGTGATGTAGGGGAACTGTGACAGACCCAACTGGGACAGGGGCTATTGGAGGGGAGTGCAGGCTAGCCTCTTGCCTACTGACTGGCATTTGAGGGGACTCTATTCTTTGGGAGGTGTGTGTCTGGGGGACCTTTGGAGTAGTTTTACTTTGGATTCAAGTCCATGTCTTCCTGAAACACACAGACTGTGAGAACCAGAGGACCTGGACCCGGGGCCTCTGTGTTTAGTTGGGGTATAGACATCCCAAACAAGCACATTGACTGCTTCAACCCCCTCATGGTCTAAGAGACTCAGAGAGGATGTTAATATAATCAACTCAAAACTACCTGATGCTGGGGTCTCCTACTGCAATCTGTTTATTAAGGTGTTATGTGTTTACTGTTAAGTATCCCTCTCCCATTGTGTGCCTCCTAGGTGTGAATCCTCATTGTTAATTGAGTCACCTCTTGCGATTTTTCTTGTGGCAGCTTTACCTCATTAATAAAGAAAAAGAAGCCTCTTGCACTTGAAATGGATAGACCCTACCCTAAGCGGCTAACACCTAACTTTAACCACAAAGTAAATGAATATAATACAAAATAATGGTGTAGCGCTAAAATAGACAGATATAATATGAATACAAACTCATGCGTGAGCATAAACATATATACAGTCACAAACTGGACAGGTGACCCCCCACATATATAATCCCCAATTGGGGGACCAAATGGTAGTGAGTTACGTGATTCCTCGCAGAGGAACATAATAACACAAGTGAAAAGTGTCCCAAATCAATACATCATGCTGAAATGGCAGTCCATATAATAGATTCCAAATGTGCAGGGACTCAAACACACAAATGTGGATGTAACCGAGGACCATAAGTGCCACACACTCTGATGTGATATCCGTAAGTGGCCAAAGTGCCTCCTCACCTCCTTAATATGACCACAAGGGCCAACTTGCTTTGTGGAATATCCACATATGCCAAGAGATAGCCACGTCAACAGATCCTCCTGGATACCTTGCAGCCTCCAATGCTCTTGATCACTCTCCTGTCACCAGGGCACTCATAAGTATCCGTTTTCACCATAGGGTCAAAGCAAACAAAAAAGATCCTCCATAGTGTGATACTGTAAATCATTTATTACCAGCCAGAAGAATAATAAAATGCCCACTCACATGTAAGGTGTACAAACTTAGCATTATCCCCTGTTATGGGTATTTACACATGGTGATCCGTATTCCAAAATGGCGTCCGCGTCCGAGATGACGTCACCACACCCCATTCTGTCACTACGTTACCGACGCGTTCCTCGGGGGAAGTCACGTGGGCATCGTGACGCAACGCGTCGGTAACGTAGTGACAGAACGGGGCTTTCCAAATGCCTGTCTGACGCCTGCTGACAGAGCTAGTGTGAACGTAGCCTAAGGCTCAAGAAGAGAATGTTTTCCAAAATGTCAGCTGAGCCATGCAAAGACAAATAATGGTCGTATAATGCAAAAGAAACACAGAAATAGCAATTAATGGATCTCTGTGCTCATAATACCTCATGGGAAAAGGGGGAACATTTCAAAATAGTAGCTATGGGTAGCTGGATGGCATCATAGCGCTGTCTTATAAGCTGTGTATTATAAGCTAAAAAGACACCCTTCCACGGGAAAAAAACAGATTTTTTTTTTCCCACCTGGCTGTTGAATCATTTCTTGGGTTTATTTTTATGCTGTGGATGTTTTTGTTTAAAATATCCTTTATTTGTTGCTTGTTTACTTTAAGGC